AGATAATAGATGAATCCTTTTGTTGTTGTTTTTTTTCTTACAGTGCCATCGTGTACAGTTTGGGCGAAAACATGAGCAGATTCTTGGCGGATTATTGCTAGTTCTGCAATGGTTGGGAAACGCTGGGTAGAACTGCTGGGAGAACATGTTTATGGTGTGGTTTCGTGGGAAAGCGGAAAGAAGGGTAGTCGTCGGGACCTGTGCGATACATTCCGACATAGTTAGCGAGATTAAGTATGCGACTGACCCGGGATCATCCGCACAGAGGTGACATGTTTCCCATACCCAGACATACCCTGTTTTGCTCACGTTGTCTGTTTTAACACGACAATATATCTATCTATATCTATCACACACATACAAAACTCAAACCATGTCCAAATGTTCACGAACACAATTCTTTGTATTTAAAAACAAGGTAGGAAAAACGCTTAAACGAACTATGCATTACCATACACGATATTTAACATACTCAAATTCTCGATAAGTGTCAAATACACATGATATGACATATATATACACATTTTCACTGTATTTTGATACAGATATGTAAAAATAAATATATTTTGACATAATTATAAATTAATTCTTAAAGAGGCAAATAGATCGTCTTCGCTGGGGGCTATTGCTACAGGAGAAGTCAACAGAACTACCTGTCTTCTGACTCGACAACGTTTGTGCTTGTACACACTAGCAGAGAGTCCTGTGCACACATGTGATCGATGTATTATCTCTAGTACAATAAACAGTGATACGGCCAAATCAACAAACCCTCGCATTATACCCCCTCCCTTTGTATAACTGTATTTCTGTTTGTAATCAATATTCTCAATGCCAATGATGTCTTCATATTTGACAGCCAATGATGACAGAATAGGTATTTTGCATAAAAAGGTAGCATTAAATCGTCCATTGTGTTTTTTCAAGTTTACAAAACGTGCTCAGTGAACAGGTGAATGAAGATTCGAAGTAAAAACATCGCTATGGTTCAACGAGACTCTACCTGGCCCTGTCAGGATGCCTACTGGCACATCTGGGGTAATTTATCAAAATTTCCAGCCCAAGACCCTTAGGGTGCATTTAAGGGGCATTCATAGTATCAGACCACCCAGTCGCATGCATGCATACAGTTTTCCCATCTTTTGGGAGACAGGACAAAGCTTTTCTGTATTTCTGTCTGTTTATTGGCAATGGGCGCACTGGAGATTAGGGGGAGATAATCTTCTTGTAGTCACGTTTTAGCGGGTAAAACCATTTGGAGATTGTGCCAATATTTTAAAGCTGTCAGAGAACATGAGGATAATGGGTTGTAACTGTGGGATCTAACAGTTAGGTTGGACTTACATTAGTCCCCACATTAACATGATACATAGCTTAGGGGGAAACTGCTTGTGTGAGGTCGCTGGGGTTTGTTCCCTCTTGAGTTAGTTGATATTGGCCGTACCTCTGTTTTCTTAGCAACCTGTTGAATGGCAAATACTGTTTTTTGTCCAACCAGCTGGCAATACACAGAAGCAATTGTCACGCTGTGATGTTTGTGTCTACATCTCGGCATAGTACAAAAATATAGTCAAACTCTTCCAGACTTCGTAAAAAAATAGTCTACCCACGTGCTGCAAGGTCCCGAGCGTTACTGGTAGAAAGTCGTGTGCTGCGAGTGTCTTCTCCTGTGGTGCATTTGTGTCGTCAAGTGAGAAAAGTCGAACTCGGGTTTGTTGGTCAGTTTTACTTTGTCTCTCGGCAGAAGCCTTTTCATAAATTGAGTTTCCTTTCCCCGCTTTATCATCGGCGCCTTTCTCGGTCTTCCTCTGCGGTTAAATGCAACATTCCATCCGGGGAATTCCACGGACTCAAAAGCCGTCCATTTATTCTCGTCAATAAGTTCTTTCCACAAGCACGTTCGCGACTTCCCTCGTCTCTGTGGGGCGAAAAATGATAACAAAAAGTCAGTCATTGTATAAAACATAGATACAAACACAGTAACGACTAGCATGCATAAACAACTACGTTAATTTCATTTGTATCAGCAGAAACCGCTCGCATATCTGCTTTGCTTGCACTTCGTTGCTTCACCAATGCCTGTGTGACAGGGGTAGTCGCTTGGAAAATAGGACACCAATAGATAAAGGACGTTTTAGAATCAGATCTGAGTCACCGTCCGTCCTTATTTCGCTTTTTTCCCAAGGCACCTTTGGGTGATCAATAGACTTGCCTTAATCGCTATAGTTAAAGGTAATTGCACTTTTATAGGTACATCTGTTGAAGCGGTTTAATGACTCGTACATAATCCCAATCGGTCCTTCAGCGGTGGGTGTTCGCAGTGGCTCTTGTGTAATTCTCTAATTAAGAATTCCGCGTCCAGCCGAGATCTTTTCTTATGCGTCAGGACGGACATGTTGTTCGTTATCTGTGAGGCCATCGGATCGGCTAAAGCACGTCTGCGGAGGGGCAGCGTTTGTTGTGGTGTTACAAGAAACTGTAGGTACATCGCCGGGGGCGAGGCATACTTCAAGTCTCCACCAGTCGGGCTTTGATAGACACTACAGTTCCTTACTGTATGGGGTCAACACGAGATCGGTTCTTCTGTCTCGCAGATATGGGATAAACGCTTGTCAAACGATGATACCGGTTTGGACCATCGGCTCTGTTGGCACAGTAAACACGACTCAAGAGCGCTGAAACGCTTTTTGAAGTGTTTCAAACAGAAGCCGTTTGGGGAAGGTAAAGGGGGAGGTATGCCCGTTCCGGTCCTCTGAACATCTACTGGTGCCTCCACCTGCACTCACAACAGGCTGACTACTCCGACTATAATCATAGCTTTCCTCAGAACAAATCACCATAATTGGCAGCGAACAAAGCAGAGGCGGACATATAAAGCCACACATCGCGCGCTCATGTCCGTCCTGTCTTCAATATTGGCGGCATTTTTCTCCGTGGACCGAGGAAGGACATTTTCTGACAGTTACAGATCATCACGTCATCTTGCTAAATATAGACAGACACCGTTTAACTCGTGTAGAACCACACATAATCAGAAAACATCTAGTCATTCGCACACAGAAGCCTTTGTCACACAGAATATGTGTTTGCGACATGCAGTAATATAATCAGGTGGGCACGTACCTTTCCTATCAGTTTTCCTCGGGCGTTCATGCATAGATAAAATCCCGATGATGCACCCTTGATTCTCACGCGACTTCCAAACGTGTCCGTCTCGACAATAACTTCAGCTGGGGGTAAAATGTACAGTATTAGTTAGTGTTGGTTGTGTTGGTGTTTTGTCTACAGGTGTATTTCATTTCAACTCCTAACCTGTGTCATATTCGGAATGAACTACTGCTGGCCCGTTATGCAGTATTTTGAATCTTTTGAATATATCGTGGTGTCCCAATTAGTTTTCCTTTGACAAACATATAATCTAAATCTTAAAGCTTAGCCCCGTAATGTGTAAAATGCCTTAAGATGATAGCAGACAACACCCGTCCTTGTGTGCACCTTATCTGTGAAATGATCTCGCTAAGGCTGACTTTCTCCTAAACTATTGCTTCGCATGGTATCAGACTTGCAAATCCCTTGTTGTTTTACTGGCCCGGGGAGGAACAATGTCCCCACATCAAGAAAGATTTCTTTTCGTTCCGCAAACAGGCTTGTCTAAGACACAGTAGCGAAAAACAAGTCCAGAAACAAAGTAGCCATTTGTGGGCCAAAGAAGTATCCAACCATGCAGGTGCGATGAAGGGCCTGCATTTAGGGGGGAAATACGAGCCTCAGAAATGTTATCGATATACGGAATCATGCAACTAGCAAAGCACAACAACCATAACAGTGAAAAGTTATCCAGTCTAGTTGAAAGCAGTTCTTAAGTGTTCTCGGCGGCTGGGAACGGCAATACGGGCTGATGAATGGGCGCTGCGACCGGGGGAATCAATTTGGGAAAAGGTTTGGGCTCCGGGAGGCGAGGGTGTCAATCTTGCCCTGGCTTACGCTAAAACTCAGAAACAGAGCAGCGGGGATTTTGGGACCAGCATGACTGTTTTCGCGAGAAAAGAAAGAGAAGATCAAAGCTGGTTCTTACCGTTTTCTGAGCCGTCCTCCCCTAGCGCGTCGACCCTCTTGCCGAATATCTGCAGGTGCTTACGGCTACTTCTGGAGTATAGCTGGTAGTTGCGGATGTATCGGCGGCTGGTGTTGTCACTATCCTCCATCTCTTCTTCCACATGTCTCCCGAAGTCGTGCAGTGGGGAGGCAACTGACGACACCTGACCAAAAAAATAAACAGAACAATTCTGGTTCAGATTTTGTGCAACAAATTTGTCGAAATTGGCAAGAAGGTGCGGTAAGAAATAAAACGGTTTGAACACAAAAATGTCGGCACGAAGTTTTGTACAAGATCAAGAGATAAAATGTTTTGATCCATAGCACGCCTACCTGCAAGTCAAGCAATCCACAGCAGCGCTTGTAACATTCTGAAAAAACACGAAGGAACAAATCATCAAACACCAACAGAAGCCAGTTTCCCGACCAAAGTAGGTCTGTAGCCTGTACTAAATAGCAGGACGAACAAAGTGGGCGTTCTCTTTACGCCACACAAAACATGTACAAATCCAAAGGAGGAATACAAACTTGTCCTTACAGAGGCACGAGCCGTAACAAAGGCAAGCATCGCATGGTTGTTCTGGCGAGTTCCGGTCAGGCTGGCGAACAGCGCGCCCAGGTCTTGTCACCACCGGCCCCCGTCGTGCCACTGAATGCAAGCCACACTTGTTTTGGTCTATTGGGTAAATACATGCAACAATTGGGTTAATATTTGCATAAGTTATTGCAATTGAATGACGTTTCATAGACTCAACCTACTCGAGTCAATATATCATTTTACAAGGGAGCGGGTCACTAACTTTGATCCAAACGGGACCCCTCTATTGATTACTGTTGACCCCATAGTTTATCTAGTCTCTTATATTCAGTGAAAGGCCGGCGCTCGTCTGACCTGCACCTTATTGTGTTTGGCAGCCGCCCCATTTTCATACAAATTGTGTCCTAGGGGTGCGTGCAATCGGCACGGCCAAGCTAAGACCCCGGCAAAGTTAAATGAGAAAACTTTGAGTTCGGCTGGGAGTTTTGCTGAGAGAGTCTAGTCGCCGTCCTCGCAATTAACACGTCGGTGCGAGCGGAGAGGCGGGCTTTTGGCACCGCGTTGTCACCTCGTTGGCAAGTCGGGCTACCTGGCAATCTTATAATCAAGCGGAGGCTTTTGTCCAAACAACAGTCAATCTAAACAGAATGCATGCAGAAGTTTCTCACCAGACTGGGGGTGGCGGTCGGAGGCCAGTACACACCGCAACACACACACAGGGACATCCCGCCGACTGCAGGATACCCTCACCTGAGTACCCGGCTTGACTTACGTCAACATGGACTAGCTTATTAGGGCCAAATTAAGTAAATACTTCTTTGTCTAAGGAATATTTATGACCCGAATTCTTTGAATAACAACTTACCTGCCCTGAAAGAGCAGCATTATAGTATTACAGCGAGTTGAGCATAATAAATGCTAAACTTTGCCATCATGCGTGTCAGGTATTTTGCCCTTAAAAAGTTTCCGCCATGGTTGCAGTGGTACTGCCGACTTCAAAGTGATTGCAGCGGCCGTGTGGTAACTACCTGGCCTGGTCCTGTAATATGTGGCCTGTCATTTCCCGGTGTCTTTTTCTCGTCACCATACGTAGTTAAAGCCTGGGGCCAGGAGAGTATTAATTCCAGTGGGCGTGCTGCTTCACACTAGTTAGGGGGCTGGCGTATGCAGGCGCTGCGGTTTGCTGCGGTCAGGGGTCAAAGCAGTAAGTCTGACACATCGTGTCATGTCTACAAAAAATATCATAGCCTCTGAAATGATAACCGTAACTTCGGCTCAGACGAAACTGTGATACTGCGCTTTCACAACACTGGTAAGGGTCACCCTATCCTTCCTGGAAACTTTTGAACGGGGCGGACCTGTCAGAATGTGCATGTTCGACCATATGTGTTATGGGTACAAGAGTATGTATTAACTGCATGTTTACACCTACATGTACGTATGGCTAGCTATGATATGCGGACAGGAGACGACGGAAACGCGTGATATTTCTTGTACGACGCAGGCCACACCTCTGCACCAGACATGTGCAACATGTGCTCAGGTGTACGCTCTTTGTTGGTGGTAATACAGAAGTGTTCGTCTTTTTTCTGGCCTACGAGACCAAGTGCTGAGCAGAAATTGCACAGAAGCTGTTAGAATCGGGTTAGAACCGGGTGCTCACCTGTAGCCCTAGCGGAGGTGCTGTCTCAGTCGTAAGTTATGTGGCATATAATCGGTATGGTTCCAGGCGACATAGGTCCCCAGAGTAAGCCAAGATAACAGTCTTCCATCAATGTTGAGAATGTTACAGCTCGGGGCAAACTCTCAGAGACAATAGTTAAGTTACTGTTTCATACGACACTGTGGAAGAACCCTTCCCAAGGTAGTATCCAGAAGCCTTACCTTTGTTCCGCCTTGCAGGAGCTGTGTGTGTCCCTGACGACCATTCCAGTCATGGAGAGCTAGCGACGCCCGCGCGAAGACCAGCGACCAAACCGACCTGCCAGCAGCAGCAGCCGTACGTCCCGTGCAGCCCTTCCGCCCCACAGGTCCGGCGGCAATGTCAGACCCCAGCACAGGGATTACCTCTACCCCAATTGTTTACCGTGTCAATTAATAGGCAATTAGTGTCTGATAACCGGTCGCGTTCAGGGACAAAAGAAATACATGGAATATTCATGCCCTTGAGTACACCTTTCAAACGTGCCGCACATGAGCCGACACCTTTCAAGTGGCCCACCCCATGCCTCCCCGAATGTGAAGCAATGAATATTCAGTGCTCATACAACTGTAGCTCGCATCGCTACTCTTTCAGATGCCAACAGATTACATTCTAAGCTGTGGTTTTGACATGGAAATGATGTCCCCTTTTTGTCCCGAGGACGTGTGAACAACGTGTTCGGGTGCGCTATTAACAGTTTATCTTCTCTTTATCAACGTCAATTAAACAATTTGTTGTAAATTGATTTCGATTGTTGGCAAACAGCTTCCCCCGTTGGGTTCGCAGCGGCGAGCCGGCACGTTGAAACCCCCCGAAGTACGCCGTCGGTAAAACCGTGGGAAGCCGCGACCAGCGAAGCGCAGCGAGAGTAGACGTCCCGGCCCTTGTCTGCACAGGATACGGTATCGGAAGGATGAGACAGCGGCCTACCTGACTTCAAACATGCTTGGCACTGCGCCCGTCCCCAACCCGGCACCCCTACGGGTACTTCAGCCCGACTGTAGGCCCGTCTTTGTTGTAGAACGGGAATGTGTATTAAGATACACAATAACTAGCTTAGAGCCAAGAGTTCCTCTAAACCACCTTGCTTAGAGACCAGTTCTATTGGTCGGTAAGATAACAAAGGAGACACTTTACTTGTTGTATGGGACAAGAGTCGTACTACTTTGCATCGGCGTAGACTATTCTTGTTCCAATACCCTGGGAGTCAATGGGTCTTACAAAACTTCAGAAGACTATCCCCTAGAGCTATCCCCCTCTCAGACGACGACAACCAAGACATGATCCCGCTTTCCTTATTCAATAAGACGCAGACTTGAAGGTCTACCGACTGGGGCAATGTCGGGATGTTTGAGAGAAGACCTCCCACTAACTTTGGGTATTATACCACGAGATCGGATGATGATTGCGATTGGGTTTTACCAGTGCATAAAGCGGTGCCACGTGCGTTAGGACGCGATGGCCGACTCATTAGAACATCAAGCGGACGTGCCGTTTCCGTCACTGCTGACTGTGTTCTCTCACACCGCAGCCGTCGGACGTGTGGACACCGGCACAGGTGTTAGCACGGCTAATCCGGACTATTAGCTGACTCATTAAATACTATTGATCTCGGCAACAATCGGACGGACCTCCCGCATGAAGATGGCACATTGTGTGAAGTAGCTGAAGGGAAGGAATACACATGTTCCTACAAGTACCCCAGGGTCATAGACAAGGACGTAGTATGCATGTTTACTAGCCTGAATAGCGTTTTGATGTTTTCCTTTTGTAAAGAATAATAAGCCACAATAAAATGTAGTTACGAGGTCTGAATTCCATAATTTTGCGCCATCTTACATCTCATTATGAAGTAAATAGTTGTTGTTATGATATACATGAAAGATAATGTGAAGACAGCAATGAGTATATACCAAGCAGTGAAAACTTTGCAATTACTAGTATATGTATAAGGTACGGCTAGTCACTAGCCAAAGAGCACAGTTCAGTAGGAAAATGTTATATGACTTCGTGACGTTTTGCCTTATACGAAGTCATCCTTAAACATATCTTTTTGATACGAGTCCTATCTGTTTAGCAAGGATCAAAATCTGCTAACCGCACTGTTGTTAGTGTAGTTAAGTAGTGTAAGCTACGAAAGACCGCGAACAAACGTATGGCTTTCCTCAAATGGCAGGCTCCAAACGGATAATTCGATGGTTGGTGAGATGGACAAAGGAGAACTTCCCAAGCATCTAATGAAAGAAACCAACAAGCAACACTAGAGTAATGTGCTAGTGTACGTCCGTATTGTTCAGTGTATTTGAAATAAGACGCAATGTATCGAAACCACATCACATTTATGTCTGATAATAATTATAAAGTTTTACGTTGTTGCTTTTATGAATTTGGATTTGTGAATTTTCCTTTTCTTAAATGAATGAAATGGATGAATTCCATTCTTCTATCGCTGGAAACTTCATCTACTATGAGAAAGTAGGAAAATCAGACGTCAATTTCAACACCGTCGGGGAAGAAGCCACTTAAAACAACAAATATGTGATGAAAATCTAGTGCATTTTTGCGATGGCGACACGAGATAAAATGGGCTGCATACGCGGAGTGAAGGGAACTCTGCCAAACGCTCCCAGGGTTGTGGTTTCGGAGTTGTCTTACGAGGTGCCAAGGCCCTCAGATTTGCAGTGTTTATTTATAGGCATGTTCCACTGATTGCAACATCGCTGTCCCGAGAAAGAAGACACTCCAAGAGGCGTCGTTCGTTTGTGTGACGCGGTGGAGATTAGGTTATTTGTTTACGTTGCCTTGAAATTTGTATGTCTTCGTTCTAGCGAAAGAAGATTGGCATTACCCTTATTTAAAGTGGCTTCAAAGGTCGACTTGATGGACTTAGAAGGAGCTGCTCACATTTTCGCAACAGTGCGCTGCAATGTTGCAATTCTGTATCGTCGTCGGAACCCCATAACACTTTGCTTTGTACGTTGATGAAGTTTAGATATATCCAGGTAAACCATACTCATAAACAAATCAAACTCCACTCCTGGAAAAAATACGGAGATAACTTTCAGACGTTTTGTGTTTAACATCCATCGCTCTTCTTCAGCATCACTAGAATGGACTGACAGAACTAGTCAACACCCGCGTGGAAGCGACTGGACAAAGTCCTTGCTTTGTCTTTTTAATGTATAGCACCAAGGACCATCCATGTCACCACAAATCCTAGTTTATCCCGTAGCTAATAGGGCGTTGAGGATCGTCTGTACGAGCCAGACTGACTTGTTATGATATACCTCGTACCACAACTGTCAATGGAGGGATTTGGGGGTCCTTTGAGCGAATTAAAAAACGCTGTCTGCGTTTTCCTCTTATCGTGGGAGATAGTGATGGGTTTCGTATTGACACAGCAGATACATGTGCTGTGAGTCGGCGCGAGCTCGCATCGAGGAATGAAGGAAATGTAAGCAGGTTAATCTGTACAAACACCGGTCAGAAGTCCTCTGGCGACGGGCGACTCCGACCGCGGTGACCACTGGTGGACGCACGGCTGAGCGACGCGTCGTGTGGGGCCACCGCTTCTCAGTAGTCTCAATTTGTTCATCTTCATCACTCCTGCGGTATGAAGGCATCAGCGAGTTGTCTCTGTATCAACAATCCGGTCACCCTGACCCTACGATGTCAATCGTCTGATAACCAATAGCTTGTTGGGATGTAAGAAAACGGACCAAAGCTACAGAAGAAATTTCCCCTACAACACGGACCGTACTTATGTCTGAAACTACTGGAGAGAAGCGGGGCGAAAAGATTGCTTGTTTATGGATCGACGAGATGCACTGTCGTGTATCCAGTGCACAAAAAGGCCATTCGAAAAGAGTTAAACGTCGATATCTTACCCGGTATAGATTGTACATTAGTAAAACTTTCATTACTGACATTAGATTGCTCTCTAGACACTGCAAAATATTTGAAGTTAGACTTTGCTTATACAGATATTTTCTGTAAAGTTATAATTTTCATGACCAGACGCACAAATCCAAAAATAACTAACACGAAATAAATCAAGCAACTGGTTAAATTCTCTTAACAGTCAGACGTTTCAGATAGCATCTGCAAGCTTTCATCAGTGACTGAGATGTTCTCATGCCCGCTATCTCAGAATAGTGATCACTGATGACAGATAGCAGATGCTATCTGAAATACCTGACCCCTCAGATAATTTATCCAGTCGTTTGATTTATTTCGTAATACGCAATGTTCTGTCTGGATGTCTAACCTTTATCGATGGTCCAAAAAAATCTATTTGTTCTCATCCTCGTATGATTTTTAAAGTTTACCAATCAGATGCAGTCAGTTCTTAACTCCATGGCTGGATCCCCCTAGCGACTGGCGCCCTCCTTGCACCTGTTCTTTGAAGTGGACGGTGGACTCATGTGAACTTTCAAAGTTGACGTGTCAGGGACACTTTAATCCGGGATATAGATACGGGGTTTAAAATGTTGTCCTCGTAGATGTTACGATAAGAAATCGCCTGTGGCAAGGTTTAGAAAGACCAACTAGTTGTATATTGAATCGACGGAAGACTCTTTACAGTAAATAGATGAGCTTTACTCCACTAATTCTTTACCACCGTATTAGATGAAAACTCGGTGGTTTAAAGGAAACGTTTTCGTGTGTTTGTGCAATATCTTTCGTGTTGTCTATGGCGTATCAACTCCTTACAAGAATATCAAATTCTACCGAACTTTTTGAGTCATCTCAGCAGAATATGTACCTTTGGTTGTCGCCTCACACATCGCCAATCTTACGTACCTTGCATCATATTCACCAAGCGAATGTATACCACAGCAATGCTTTCCCTGTAGATTTATCTTTTACTTCATATAGAAAGTCATAGAAGGGTTTGTCGTTCCTCTTCTTTGCAGTACCATAACAAACCGCAAGAGAGCCCAAAATCTAATAATTTTTATGTACATGTATCATCAAGACCTACCCATCTACTAAATATCAAGACATTCCATCTAAGCCTTCTCCAGTTATCATGTTTACAGACACACAGACGGACGGACACACACACGAACGCCAGCGAAAAGATAACCCTCTTGGCGAAGGCAGTAATGGTAAATTCATTGATAACTGTTAGTCTTTATTTGGCGCCGTATTTATGCAGACATACAGAGCCTCCTAGCGGAGGACTCTGAACTGCTCCAACCTTTTCATCATCATCATCATTCACAGCATGATTGACGACATTCTACTCTGCAATTTACCACATTCACAGCCTCATTTACCGCTTCACGCGTGACATTCAAAAAGGGACACAGGCAAAGACTGAAATACGTGAACGTCTTTACCGTGACAACACTGAGTGCACCGCGAATCAAAACGGTACACATTGCGCGAAAGTGTTTCATTTATATCACTTAGCATACGACAGCATCGGCACATAAAATCCAGTCAATAACCAAGGATAGCACCTACATATATGTGTGTGTGTGTACCCATCCAATCAGTATACGTTATGTGAAAGTGTTTCATTTATATCACTTACTTTTATGTCAGTATCGGCACATAAACGGCAGTCATTAACCAGGGATGACACACACAGGGCAGCTCGTTTGTACCAAGCAGAATTCGAAGGTCATTCATGTATTTTTTAAGAGCAGGAAATATCGAGGTGTCTTCTGACATGTATAACGTGCGTGTTAGATTAACGAATCACTCGGAAAATGGCAAAGTTCTGCTGCTGAATAGAGGTCGCTGTTTAAACAGAAAAGAGCCTGCGGGATTTGTGATCCCCGAAATCCATCTAGAATATTAATTGTCGTTCACCGCCGCAACTCTTCTACATCAGTCAAGCTTGCCTAAAGATGCGTAAGATTTCAAACTGCTTGATGCACAAGGAATGAGCGTAGTTTGTTAATCTCACACAACCCCCCGCGATGACTGCTCTCCAAGCAGAGGTTTAGCTTATTTTTGGCATGTTTTATACGTTTTGTACTGTTTCATACTGGTATGTTTTTTACGCCAGCCTATTTGACAAGTGGGGAATGTCTGGCAAATGGATATTGGCTGGTCAATCTGATACTATCTTTGCAGCCACCGATCGAAAAGATCTAGATCTGCTTGGAGATAACCCGATGACATGTACGCAACCACGTAATGGCATTAAGCTGACACGTACATAAAGATCATGAAGATTTACTGTCAGTAACGAAGAGCAGCTGTTCCCAGTCGGACCGCCAGGCGGCCTGATGAATAGGAAAAGGAAACGTCCAGCACTGATACAGGGTAAGATATCATGACACTCGTTACATTGCTGAACTGAATCGGACTCATCTATAAAGGATCTATCCTAAGCTTCCCTGCCGGCCCTTTTCTGCCTGGGATGAAACACCGCTCGCCTCTCCCTCCGTCACATCACTCTCGCCCGCCACGGACGGAAGGTCAGACCGCTTGTGGTCGATTAATGTGCGAGACACAAATAATTTATCAGCCCGGCGTTGTCGCAATTAAGAGTCCGCTATTCATCTCTGCCGCGCATCGTTGAGCCTAGCGGATCGTGAATAAACTCTCTCTCCCCGTCGCCGTGTGAATCCTGGCTGGCGCTCGTGAAATGAGATCCGCCGCAGAATCGCCTTACGTATCCTTCCTCATTTGACCTTTGCCCCCATCCCGTGCTGATGTAGAGTCGGTTGGAGGAGGAGGATGATGATCAGGATGCTGCGGGATGAGGAGGATGTACGGCGGTGGCGGTTTGTTGACGGAACGGCGGTCCGGAGAGAAGAAGAAGAGGAAGCAGCATGATCGTCCGGCTGTGCGTGGCGTCGATGCTGGCCACGGTGCTGGCGGCCGGGCTGCTGCTGGCCATCCTGCTGATCGGCGGGATGCTGGCGGCCTCGCAGCAGCGCGGCGTGACG